AGAAATCAGAGAAACAAGAGTAATTATTATCTGTTAGATTGCTACTGCCTTTAGCCAATGCTGATGCTGCTAGTGACAAAACCTGCTTTGTTTTCACTGATCACAGCTCTTGAGAAAACTGAACGTGGTACCATGTCAGGGCCAGAAAAGCCCAGGAGGAATGGAGAGGATTGTTTACTGAATTCAGTGGTCACAGAGGTGAAACTATCAGAAAATGTACTTTTCTTATGTAGATGAAATACTGATTCTATTGCACTTTGCAGAAAATGTTTATGGTAAGGAGGAAAAGCAGCTTGATCGTCCCATCCAATGGATTTTCTGGGAGACTGGATTAGCTAGCTGTTTGCAGCACCTATTCAGTACTTTCTGATTTCAGATAAAATGGATTTATTGTTGAATAATCAATTGTCTCTGAAAATACATCAGTTACTCTGGAAGATAGCGACTTGTATTTGGGAAGCTTGCTCACTTGGGGAGTTGCACACAAATTAGACCAATATTCTCCAACTGTTTGAGGTAGCTTTGCTGGGGAACTTCCCTAAGTGGGCAAGAAAGCAGGAAAGCTGGGGCTGGGAGAGCACATTTTGTACAGGAATCTGAAATTATGGCATTTGTAATTTAGCTTCTCGGGAAGAAAGTAGAGATTACCATAGACATCATACTGACTAGCTCAATAGTAAATCGGCAGTCCTTATACTTAAATAAGATTATTTATTGTTGTTTTGTACATTCTCTCCTGATTTTTGAGATGGCAGAAGAGCATTTGAAAACACTACTTAATAAAGAGCAGCAGCAAAACAAGCCACATACCTATGCAAGGGAAGACGCTTTGTAATTAGAAGTGCTTTTAACATAAAAGATTATGGACTTCATAATGTAATTAAAAAATATGTCAGAAATAATTATACCAACCTCTAAGACTTTAAAGGACTTCTTAGATGTCTGAGATTTCTCTGGGTCTATAATAGACTGATTATCCACATAATTAAACTACTGTTTTCTTCAATAGAATTGCTGTTCTATGATCTAAACTTTTTTGTTTGTTTGTTTTTTTAACACATGACAGAATTACAACCGACCTGTGACAGTAGGTACATTACCTAAAAAAGCACCAAACCTAATCTATACATAATCTGTACTTATTATTGAAGCAGACTTTTGACAAAACTAGTGATCAATTAACTTTTTATGTTGGAACTGCATAAAATGCGTTATCCTGATTCTGGAGTCTATTAAGACATACTTTATTTCTAGTGTTCCATTTCGTTTGTTGCTTTATGAAACAACTCAGAGCACTGTTTCAAAGTTCTTTTTCAAGTGATAATTGATATTTATTAATAAATACTTCTCACCAAGAACACACTAGGAGCTGGGCCTAGATTTAGGCTGATGGGTGACCTTAGAAAAACCACACTTGAAGTTAATAAACTGAAAATATTAACCTTGTCCAGCATATGACTGGATTTTGTCTCTGCAAATGTTGCTGTGAAAAGCAATTCAGAAAACACTCCACTCCAAAAGATTTGCTTCCAGTTTTGCTCATCACTGATAGCACAGACAGCTTGGGTTTTTTTGCTTATTCTTATGTCTGGTGTTTTGTGCTTGTGGTATGTTAAACTTGTCTGTCTGCCAGGCATCCACCAGCTGATCTCTCACTTCATCCCCTGAACAGGACACGGGGAGCAAATAAGATGAAAAAGTTTGTGGGTCAAGGTGAAGATGGGGACATCACTCGCCAATCACTGACACCAGGAAAACAGACACAACTCTGGGAAGATTCATTTATTTCAACTAGAGTAGGATGGTGAGAAACAAAGGCAGAACTAAAAACACCTTTCCCCAACCTCCACTCTCTTCCCAAGCTCAACTTCACTCCTCCATTCCCAGCTCTTCTACCTCCTCTTCCTGTTCCCAAGCAATGCAGGGGAATGGGGGTCATGGTCAGCGCACAACAGTTCTTTTTTACTGTTCCTTCATTCTCATGCTTTTCCTCTGCTCCAGTATGGGCCCTTTCCACAGTCCTTCACAAACTGCTCCAGTGTGGGTCCCTTGCACAGGGTGCAGTCCTTCAGGAATAGGCTGCTCCAGTGTGGATTCCTCACTGGCCACAGCTCCTGCCAGAAAAATTGCTCATGCACGGGGTCTCCACAGGCCACAGCTTCCCTCATGGCATGTCCACTTGCTGTGGGAGGGGTCCTCAATGGCTGGGCAGATATCTTCTCCAGCTTGTTCCTCCACAGACTCCAGGGGAAGCTCTGTCTTGCACTTGTAGCACCTCCTCCCCCTTCTTTCCTGACCCTGATGTCTGCAGGTTATCTCTCGTAATTTTTTCACTTCTTTCTTACAACTGCTGCACAGAACTTTTCATCCTTTTTCTTAAATATGTTTTCACAGAGACACCATGAACTGGTTTGAAGTGCTCAGCTTTGGGCAGCGGTTGGTTCATTTTGGAAGCAGCTCTGTAAAACATAGAGGCCACCCCCACAGGATCCCTCCACTTCTCACTGCCAAAGCCTTGCCACTAAACCAAATACAGTTCTATTTTGTGCTTTTCCAGAGGAAGAAATCAGACTTGTTTCTCCCACAGGAGGGGAACTGCCCATTAGTCAAACTGCAAACCTGCCCCTTATTTAGATAGAACAGCACTAGACAAATCACACTTGCATGCTATTCATCCTCAAGCTTCATCTGGTCCTGAACTTGACAAATACGACATTTCACTAAACTAAATTACTATTTCCCTGCAGTCAAATGTCTACTAGTCTATCTGTAGGTAAATGAATTTAGGGAGTTTTTGTGAGGCATTATTAAAAGAGGTCCTTAATCCTAACACTGTTTGGTGAACACCAGAGATCACTGAACCCTTCTATCTCCTGTTCTCAGTACTTTTTAGTCTTTTGTAACTTCCGTAAAAGACGGAAGAAGGCATTCTTTTTGTATGAAAGGAAACACAGTATGCACGGTTTCTCTGAGGCCAGAGAGTGAGTCAGCAGTGGAAAGTAAAGAGTTCAGAGCCACATAATAGTATCCAGTTACTTCACTGCCACAATCCAGCTTTTGGAAACTGTCTGTGCCAGACCATAGGTTCACTGACATTTATGATTATTTCAAGAATAAGTTACTCTGGAAATGAATAGAGACAACATCCAATGCCACCATGTGATTTTATTTATTCACGGACAGCGTTCCTTAAAATTGGCACCACACAGCAGAAAATATGGCCATCACTGACACAATTTTCACCCATCTCAATTTTCATAGGAAGTTAAACTACTGGGCTTGAAAATTGTGAAGTGGTAAAGTACTACATTTTCCTTTAGCAAAACAACATTCCTCATGTTTAAAATATCTTAACTGCATATATGATGATGTAAGGTAGAGAATGCAGTGATAAACTCTAAGCCCCACAAGAATATATAATTGAAGAGGCATTTGCCTCTAGTAAAACTTGAGGAATCGAGTAAAAAAATATACTTTGCCTTTAAACCCTACTTTTACTAAAGAAGCTTGTGTCCTTAGTTCAAGTGCTATCTCAGGAATACACATACTGAAATGATTTAGAAGTTGTAATTCTAGTCAGTTACAAATTAGCAGCTGTGGTTATCTTCACAGTTAATATCCAGAATGACCAACATTTCCAAAATTATGAACACCTACCTCTCTACTCACTTCACTGAAAAAACTTCCAGCTCAAAGTCCTATTTTCCTTTCTTTACCCTTCTCTTCTCTGGAAATGAATGATAGGGAAGGGGTGCAGGATGTTTCCTAGAGCATATTCCAAATGATCTAAGGAATTTAGACCCTGTTTTTTCCTCCCTCACTGGACAGAAGAGCTTGTAATCCTGTTTCTCCTGAAAGAATCGGAAGGTACAAGAAAGCAAAAACTTCACGGGTTTATGAAAGGAAGGAAATGAAGTAATGATAAATTATGTACACAAAAAAGCTACTAGATCCTCCATTCTGGAGAGAGCAACTTTGTTTTGCCTGCAGAACATGAACAGTGCCTGAGTCAACAAGATCATGTACTTCAGTGAAAATTCCTTTTTTGGTAACTAGAGAGTATGACTTGGTGCATTGTTAGTAAGTGATGCAAAGCAACAGGCAAAAAGGGTCAGTGCAAGCACTGAGGCAGTAAACGTGTTTCACACCTTCTACATGTCACTGCTACCAGCCTGGTCTGCAACAGTCACAAGTGAAGGTTCACTGAGTTTATGGAAAGGAAAACTAAAGCCAAATACATCAGGTAGAAAATCTAGCTTTAGCTCTACATACCTGCCTTTTAGTTTTTCTAATTGTTGCTAGATATTGTACAATGCTTGTATATAATTTTCTGAAAGGTAGACAGAGCTGAAGGTTTTCTTTGCTGTGTACCTTATACAGCTGAAATAAAAGTTATGTTTCCTAAGCAGTCTGTAAAAGAAAATAAATAATCAAATTGGTTCCAACTCAGAGAACAAACTTGCCCAGTTTGACCCAAAGCCAAAACTTTATTTTAGGAAGGAAGTTGGTACAGTAGCAAATATCATCCCCCAAACACTAAGCCTGTGAAAGACCCAGATTCAGAAGCAATGGAACAATTTTAAACACGACTTTCAAGATGCTTCTCCCATTTTGAGAAAATATCAAAGCTGAGTTATTTTGTTCAGCAGTTTGCATTTTGAATGGGAGGGAAATGCTCTGAGACGGAGACTGCTTCTCACATGACCTTCAGCAGCTCAAGCTTTGACAGTTTAAGCTGTCAAAGCAGCAGCTGCTTAAAAACATTGCAAATTCATAACAAGATAGCATTTCAGATCACTGTTAAGTTCCCAGATTGTGCCATTGGAAACTATGGAGTGTTAGTTCTGTAACAATTGCCTCTGGCTGGAATTTGAGATCTGCACAGTTCAGACATGCGAAAGCTTTTATATTAGAGATGTTGAAGAAGCAACTTAAAAAAAGCAATAATGAACTATACAAGTTTGGGTTTTGTTTTTTGTTTTTGTTTTTTTTTTTTTTAATGTTGGTGCTCCCACCATTAGCAAGATAAATATTCTTAGAAGCATTTCACAGAATTTGCTTTCAAGAGATGTGTTTGTTTTAGTAGAATAAGCGGCTTTAAAAGCTGAAAAAAGTTAATTACAAAGTCCTTGCAAAGTCAGTTAAATGCAATACCTTGACAGGGAGAGACAACAGTTAACATGGCAGCAATCATCTGTGCGGGGGTGGGGTGTTAAGAACAATAAAGCATAAAGCTTTCATTTTAATAAAATCTCTTTCTCATTACTTCTAGAATAGTTTATTGTTTTCTTCTGAAGGACACATGGCAGTGCAGTAAGCTACAGGAATTATTCCCTGTGAGAAACTAGGAAAGAAGAAGTCCTCCCCTTATCTGAGCAGTATGCCCTTTCTCCTCCTCCAGCAAACACTCAGAAGTAGATGGGAAACAGAAATCAGGGGGAAAAAAACAAGGTTTTTCTTAGTTGTCTACTTATTTGCACTACTACTACATTACTGAAGAGACAGGCAGAGACCTACCAAAGTTGTCCATCAGTCCCTTCAACACTTGAATTTAGGCTGCTTTTCATCACAACAGTGATTTGAAAGATGCAGCCCCATCCATAATAGGAAGGCAAAAATAAGCATATGAAGGTAAGCAATATTCCCATGTTAGTGACACTTGAAGTGAACAGAACCAGCTGACAGGTCAGAATGGATCCCACCAACCATGGTGCTTCATCTTTTCAATCTTCCTGCTTCTCTTTTAACAGGTTAGGTTTTCTTCCAACTGATCAATGCAGTTGATGTACGTAGTTAGTAGATTCCTGTCTCAGTGGCATGGCAAGCACTGTGGGCTCCATAGTGGTCTTTTCCCTTTCACTCCCACTGCTTTCTTCCCCTCCCACACTTGTTCTCTCTGCACCAGAGCTTCTCTTACTACGTGGAATCTACTGTCACATCAGACATACTTAGCTCTATTTTTACTGTCTCCTTATTTAGTCTTACTAAAATTTTTCATGAGCAAGCAAACAAAAGACTCAAAAGCCACGCTTATAAACAGTGAAAGTTGGGCTTTTTCCCTTCACTGATGTGAGTTTGCATTTTGACACAAGATGCCTAAGGCTGCACATTTTCCAATTTTTTATGCGGTTGAGGAAAAGCTTTCTGAAATCTGGTCATACTAGCAGTTCGATAAACATTACTTTGCCCTTTAATACAGCTTGTCTTGGGAGACTATAATACCTCAAATATTCATTTTAAATTACATTTATGTTATGCAAGACTAGAGAGTGTCCTGCTGCTCTTCCTTGAACATAGGGCATTAAAATACGCAGCATCTCTTACATGTACCTCAAGCACAACTTGAGAAGTAGTGTCATCTTGTAACTGAACGGTGAAAACTACAGAAGTGATGGTTTAACCCCTGCAGGAAACTTCAGCAGATTATTTATAAGCCATATTCATTAAACCATGGCAGATTATTCAACACTCAGTAAAAACTGGACATGACATTCATTATAGAAATACATCAAGTTCTTCAACTGGTATGAGGCATAATAATCTGAACTTCCTGAAGATTTGAAGAAAAATACAAAGAGCTATAATGAAATGTTTTTCTTCTAACTTATTTTAAGGGAAGGAAGGCTAAATTTTAAGCTTCTGCTTAGTAGTTGCCCAGTCTCCAATTAGATTTCATGAGAGTAGTCAGTCACTGAACAAGGATCGAGGTTGTGTTATGTAGTTGCATTGTTAGCAGGAGTAAATAAGTACACTTCACCTTGTTGTACCTCAATGCCAGTTTGATACTAATATCAGCACTGTGAAGGATTAAAACAAACACACTTGCCCCCACCTTACAGCCTAGTCTGTTCAGAATGCAAGTAGACAGCCATGAAAAAAACTCCCAAAACAACCAAACCATGTTTTAATTGGTGCAAAAAATATTCCACTGGTTACAAAGCATGCAAGTTTCCAAGTATACTTATTCTCCATTCTGAGTTGCTGGGGCAAAAACCTGCCCTCTCTCCTTCTGCCAAGCTCTCAGACATTAGGCACCCATCCTTTTGAGCCATTAAGAGCCTGTGAACATCAAACATTTATTTTATGACTGAGCCCTAAAAGCATTCCCAAATGGGAAAAATGTTAGTTCACATTAGTGGACATCCCCCTACTATAACATTACGACAGTCAAAACTGGGCAAAAGAATGCCTTTAAGCAAAAGGATCCAATATCAGAGGTGCAGCTGTGTCCACTACTCTTGCCTTGGTCTTGTACACACATCATCTTCATCATATTCACCCATCAACTGCAACAAAAATGTTCCAGTGTAGAGAAGAAACTGTCCAGCTATTTGTGCTGCATGGGATATTAGCTGAAGCACTTTCCTGGAAAAAAAAGCCACTTATTTAAGAAAAAAATCACCAGCACGACGACATTACCCCTTTCCACCCACACCACAATTTTGAGTCAAGTTGATATTTTTAAAAACTCTCATTCCTTCTCATTTCTGAGCAGCTGGTCATTTTTATACCATCTTTAGAAAAAATACTTGATTGACATAAAACTGGTTCATTCTGCCAATTAGAAAACACATTCAACAAAGCAGGCTATCATCCTGCTAGACATTTACAGGTCTTCTGCAAAACCACCACTCAAACTACCAGAAGACAACTTTTCCTGGGAGCTCCACAGCATTCCTGCAACATAAATCCACCTTATGTCTCACCACCTTTAGGTCATTCATGCAATCCTGCATGTATCTCCAACCCACAGATCAAACCTGATTAGATCTGGAGCTGAACAATCATATTACAATGGATGCCCAACGGCAAGACTGGTAAGCCAGATGAAGTCAGGCTGTCCAAGCTACAAGCCTTAAGAATTCTCTGTTCACAGTTATTCTATTTTTAAAAGATTAAATAAGTATCATCATTCAAATATATTATACTGTGTAAGAATCAGTGCAGGTCCATAAGCTAATATCAGGTAAGTGTTGGAGGTCTGCAAGATAAACTGTGGATCATCACAGGATCACAAGGGAAGAGAAATACTCATATTTGAATGGTTGTTTATTCATCTTAGTTGTAGGTGCATCTTCCTTCTATTCTCCAAGAAACAATGGGGGTATCAGCACCAAGAGCTATTTTGGAGTCTCATCCCCACAGAAGTCAAGTAGGCCCTCACAAGTATGAGGCTGAGGCACTGGGGGAGAGAGACATAAGAAGTGGGACCATTTCAAACCTGGAATGGGATCAGTTTCTGAAGATGCAGAAACCAGACTA